AACGCATCAGCCTTTGAATTTGTTTTGGTTATGTGATGGTTACCATTCTGTTAAGTAACACAAAGAGCTGCACATCTTGATGGAGGAGAAGATCACACTTGAATACTTCATGTTCCAAAAATTTGCTGGGTTAGTGTGGTCTGTCTGCTAGCATCTTCCCAGATGTGGTAACTTGAGGTCTGTGAAGGACTTGTATGATTGTTTCACTACAGTTTTAAATTGGGAAGTATTTAATGGTTTGAAGATAAGTGATGTCATACATATATATATGGATATTTGCTCCTTACATTTATAGAAAGACTTTTTTTTTTAATATAGCAACTCCTGGGAAGCATGAATTGCTGAGAAACATTTGCTTAATGGCATGCTGGCTTCAAATGCAGCAACATTTTCCTCCCATGATTTAAAAAAAAAGTAAAAATCTGTTCAACTGGGTAAATACCTAATTAACTCTATAATAAACTTCTCTTTATATAGAGATGTACAAAATATTAATACACCTGCAAATGATTATTCTGGTTTGCTGAGACACAGTGTGTTAAGTAAGGAACAGCAGATTCCTTGAAACTCTGAAGTATAAATATGAATTCACTTCTGTCCTTCTGTGTGCTGCATTACAGGGCAGTAACTGCCTAGTGTTGTTTGTTTATGTTTTGTTAGTGGAAAAAGTCTTTCTAATGGTTTTGCTGTGGGCATTACTGCAATGTGGAATGAATTCCAGTGCCTCCTGTGGCATTGATTAGGATTGCACTATTGATATTGTTGTAAGACAGTACCTGTAATGCACATAAGAAACAAGCAACTTGTCAGGCTAGCTGTGTTAACAGGGGGAGGAGCCTCTGCCAAAATCTTCTGCTTCTAGGGTAGAGGTGTGGAGGTTACAGATTTCTGCAGTTACCCCTTATTTAGCGTTTTGGATGAACTGTTTTATACTTGCGAAATCAAACTTCAAATATGAACTGCTCGTGTGAGCATTAACTTGTTTGTCCATACCAGACTGTTAGCATGCTATTTTCACAGTAGGATGTTCGGATAAAGAGGAGATTTGCTAAGCACCTCAGAAGACAGAGTAACTATCAACTTCAGCATCTTTGTGTACTGCGATGTTTCTGTGGATTTTTCAGAATGTTAAATGTCTGTGTTGTTTCTTTAGTTGTGTTATGTACTGTGATGGTAGTAATTTTACCAACACATGATAACTTTATATCTGACTTCCTTGTAATCTTCCTTCTGTTTTGAAGTCACTGATTGAGGTGAGTCATGCCTCTTGGGCAAAATAAAGGGATGATAGGGTTTCACGGCTCTGAGGACTGGAGGGAAATAAGTAGCACTTTTATATCTAGGCCATTCAGCAAGATCTTGTGGGTATGCTCAATAAGAGTTCCACAGCCCTGTGGAGCTGGTTTGAGGGTGGCTATGCATTACACAGCAGGGTGTCGTGCAGTGTGTATTGTCAGTGTGTATTGTCTAGAGAGCAGTCTGTGTCTGATACCAACAGAGAAGTCAGGAGCAAATGCAGAAAGACTTCATAGAATCATCATAGAATTATAGAATGATTTGGGTTGGAAGAGACCTTGTAGATCTAGTTCCAACCCCTCTGGCCATAGACAGGGACACCTTCCACTACACCAGGTTGCTCAAAGCACCACCCAGCATGGCCTTGAACACTTCAGGAAAGGGCATCCACAACTCCTCTGGGAAACCTGTTGCAGTGCCTCACCACCCTCACAGCAGAGAAGTAACTTGTTTAATGAAACTTATTCAAAGATTTCTTGGCTTTCATGCTGGTATCTGGCAATTCCGAAGAAAACCTGCTTAGACTGCACCAAAAAAGACTCCTAATTTCAGCCATTACCCCTGCAAATCTAATTTGGAAAGTTACTGCATGGCTGGTACTTTTTTTGATGATGGTAATTTACAGGACAGTCTTATGGTCTGTGTCTGTATAGTCTGTCGGTGCTGGTTGGTTTGTGTATTAAAAGTTAAATTTTGTCCTTGTTTTTGTTTGTATAACAGTTCTCTTTATGTAAGAGCAGAAATCACTTTATGCTGATGTGACTGCCTGCTCTGCAATTCGAAGAAGAAATGACAGAGAATAAAACCCCTTAGTTATGTCCGTATAATATAGAGATGAGAGCCAATATGCAAGGAAAGATCAAGAAGTTGTCACTTTATATAGTTGTGTCTTATTATATTAAAAAGAAACAGCAGCTTTCTAGGAACCCAATGGTTGCCTGAGAGTACTGCTCCAAAGGACAGAAATTTTTTAGGTTGTTTCCAGTAACATCCAGCAAAGTTTCATGGCCTGTGGTGCTTAACTTTTAATAAATATTTATTTAACTTCTAAAATAACATAGCTCATGATTGTGATTTTGATACTAATATTGTGCTTTTTGACACCTTCACGCATTTCTTGCGAAGTGACACTCTGTTTTGCCGTGCAGATCCTCAGTTTGTGGTGTACCAGCTAAAGGTAAAGATATTCACCTCCCCTTCAGGACCCTCAAGACGTGAAGACAAGTATATGTACTTTGAATTCCCTCAACCTTTGCCGGTATGCGGTGATATCAAAGTAGAATTTTTCCACAAACAGAACAAGATGTTGAAAAAGGTTGGTTTTCTCGCTTTTCTGGAAAATGTTACTCTGCCAATCCTGACGCAGGGCTGGGATGTTGGTTATTCTTCAGTGATGTGTAATCACAATATTTAATTCTTTGATGTCTAGTTTTCCCAAGGAGAGAATCTACCACAAAATGAAAGCTGGACATTTTGAGAGTTGGGGGCATTAAGTACAAAGGTCGGATAATAATTACACTGGATATGTATTGCAGTTGTTTGGGTAGTAGTGAGCAGTCTAGTTGATGAAGAAACATTCTTGTTCTAAAAATAGACTTGCACACTGAGCAAGTTAACTCCAGCTGTTTTCTTCACTAAATTTTCCTAAGGTTTGAGCAGGCACAGAAGATCCTGTCTGTGTGCTGTTGGCTGAGTACTACCTGTCAACTTTGGTTGAATTTCCGAGATAATTGAGTTCCTGCGTACTTTGTAAAAGTATCTCTGCAATCTGTTCAACTATCTTTTGGTTCCCAGCTGCAGTGCTGTGACATGAGACGTTCAGAGAATTCACTCAGAACTGAGAATTTTATCAGTGTCTCAGTTGTGGAAAAAATTAATCTAGAACTTATTTTGACACCAAAGTCAGTGAGGTTTTTAAAGATGAATGCCTTATCACTGGGTTTCATTAATTCTGATGCTCGTGGAGCTAGTTTGCATCTACCAAAGTGAAAAGTGAGGCTGAGACAATGTTGATTAAAGGCTACCTTTGTATTTACTACTTAAAATTCTTTGAGTAGTTGTTCACTGTTTAGTGGATGTTGTAAAACTTAAGAGCATACATTAAGCAAATCCTGTGTACAGGTAAAACATAAAAATAAGAACATACTAGAGTGAACTGGCAGCCACACAGAAGTGATGAGATAACATAGTCTCTTTTAACTGTGCACGCAGGTTGTACCTATTAGTGTTGTGTGTAACTACACGTGCATGCTATTTTGTGGGCTTATTCAGTTACAAGGTATTGTTAACTAGTTAAACGGTGTAATTTCACTAGCTGGAAATGTGTTCTGTTTGCTATGCACTGATGTGTGCAAAAGTTTTTAAACAGTTTCTCAGTGGGAACATTTTCTTCTTCCTGTTTAATGAGATATTTTAATTGGTCAGTGAGGCTATATGCAGTACTGAGAACTGTAAAACAAAGTATTTTAGAAGTAGAAATTCAACTTTAAGTCAACATTAAAATTATTGACATTTAAAACTGCAATGCACAGGAGCCACTTTTGAGAACGGACTTTTAAAGGAGCACCCAGATAAGTACTCTGGGCTAGACATGAGGGATGCATGGGAGAGATGAAACAAAACCCGAATATCTGAGATAAAGTCCTGTTTTATCTGTTCTCTGTCCTATCTTAACTGTGAATTTGTCGTTTCTTCACTATCTTCAGTAACACATGGATTGCGAACGGACTTTTGTAGGAAGCATTGTGCTGCAGTGCCCCTCCCTAAGCCCCCAAAAGATCAGCACACAGCTCAGATGCTGGATCTTGGCTCTGTAGCACCAGAAGTGAACTTCTGTGTTTGTTTTACCTTTACAGAGAGCACTGAGATCCAGTGACAGCATAAACTAGAGCTCCTCATTATCGTATACAATTTCTGTAGTATAAATTTGGTCTTGAAGAGTGTGTAAAATTGTCTGCAGAAATGCAGCAAGTGTGTCATACCAGCCATGGTTTCATTTCTTGAGAATCTCTTTGTAGTTTCTGAGTAGCTGGTTGATATTTTTTTCTTTTTGTCTGTTCTTATCAAGTACCCTAACTATTCAGGTTCTGAGGATTACAGATAGTGCAGAGATGTTCCTTTTCTCAGTGTTTTTGGACTGCTGGGGCCAAGAAATGCTGAGGTGGTGAACATTATTCTTTCCACATCTGCAAGCTTTTCGGAGAGGTAGAAACTGTCCTTTCACGAGATGGAAGTCTTTGTGTAAAGAAATCACCTTGATAATCTGCGTCAGAGATCTATTGAATCTAGTGCCTAGTTGCCCTCAACCTTGTGTGAGAATGGAGGCCAAAAGAAAGTAGGTATATGGTGTTACACAGTTCTGGTAAGACCACCTCTGTTAGTTCTACTGTAAATGCAGACGTGAATTGAGGACAGCTGTGACTGGCTCCAAGGATCCTCTCGGCTGTAAGCATGTTGGTCTGTTTTATGAAACCACTGCTGAAGTCTTCATATTGAGAATTAGTGAAATATTCCATCTCTTACATGTGCTTTGGCACTAGAGGAGATCCTTACACATGGTCCTTTTCACAACCTGTTACATAAAGTGACTAAGATGGGAATAGGGCAAAGGTGACTATTTGTGGCAGAAAATCTACTTTGGCACAAAGTTGAGTACATTCTCTGTACAAGTGTTTTACATCTGTGCCTGATCCTTTTCTAACTCACTCTTTTTACTCAAAACTCCAAAAGTTTCTCCCACATTGGAGATGTCACATTTTGGAGAAGGTTACATCTGTGCACTGGTCAACTAATTAATGAGGAACAGCATAATTAGGAGTAACAGGATCTTGTCTTTCAGAGGTTCTGGTGAATTCATGTGTGTTTATGAAAGCTGGAGTTACAGGTCGGTGCTCATCACTGGTTCTTGCTCTTCCAAGGTTTTCTGTTAGTAGATGTATGGGTAGCTGCTAAACAAGTTTTTTTGCACACACTTAAAGGTATCACATATCTGTCAGTCTGCATTGTAACTTTCCATAAGAAACCTAATAAAAAAAAATTAATAATATTAATTGAAAGTGTAATTCTTGATCCATTCTGGGCCTCAGGCTGAAGAACGGCTATGTCTCACCTCTGGAGATAAAGGAAACTTCTGTGTCCTCTTCCTGGGTCTGGTTTGGTGTTTGATACCACTGATTTCAGCTGAAGCACTCCAGATTTGCTCACCTGTACTTGCTTAATTTCTTAATCCTCTGAAGAACAGTAACGTTATTTGCAGGGCTCTCTAGTACAGAAGGTCATTCTCAACTTTGATCAGTCTCCTCCTGGATAAAATTAATGTGTGTGAAACAAAACAAACTTGAATGACCTAGTAACTTCAAGCACCTAGCATTGCAGTGTCAATGTGAAATTTAAAGCAGTGAAGTGTCCTGTTTTTTTAATGGCAAAACTTAATTTAAGCAAATTCAGTGGCTAGTAAGAGCTGACCTCAACCAAAGGATTATTGGTACTTGTAAGATGTTGGTAAGAGGGTGGCTGCTTTGAAAAAGTAACCTTGTTTCAGCTCTTCCATAATCTGTGCCACCTGGCATCAGTAAGTCCCCAACTTTAGGTATTTTCTTGTATAATAAAGTTGTTTATTCTTGGACCATTTCTTGAGCATGATGTAGCTACTTCCTTTCAAGAATGAAATGCATGCTTCTGTGAGAACAAAATGGCTTGAGACTTGAGTACAGTTATGTATGAATTTCTGATGGACAGAAGTTAGTAATTTGGGGGGGGTTTTGAACATGGTTTTTTGTTTCTCTGACTTGTAGCTTGGCTATTCTTGCATCTCAGACTGCTGCTGTCATCTCTCTAGGTTTGCTTCCATGTATCTGTGTGAAGCCTTTTGCTTGCAGTTATTGATGATGACATGATAATGTTGAAGTATTTCAGAGTATCCTTATATCACTTGGTTGAATGAGAGTCTGTTTAAAAATAATAAAGAAGATCTTGTAATCTTCCCGCCTGCAGAGCATGGGGGTAAAGGAGACCTTTTTCAGGGGTCCTCCCAGTATAGATGAGAGGGAAATGTTGGTGTGGGGTCTTTTTGTAAGAGTCACTTCTGGTTTATACCCAGACTATAGCAGATCTGACAGCATTGTTTGAGTTGTTGGGTATGCCATTTCATCTCTTGAGTCTGTATAGATAGGAAGTTCTGCTACACAGTTCAAGAGGACCTTGGATGATTGCTGTTCAGCAAACACTGAGGAATGAACTCTGAAAATGTCAGAAGACTTCAACTGTTGAAAATGGTATAAAAAGTTGCATCAGCCGTGACTACAGAAAGGCAATGAGGCCAGCATGGAACAGGTTGAAACATGATCTCCATCTTCTGATTGCTGGATAGGATCTCCAAAACCCTTAGCTGGTGCTGCAAAGTGATTATAAGTGCCTGTAGATCTCTCTGCAAGATTTAACTCTCAGGAGGATGTGGGAACTCCTAGCTGATGGCTTAAATGATCTTGGATTTGGATCTCAGTCTGCAGTTGGAGGCAGGTTGGCTCTAGAGTGAGGTACATTTTTCTGTCAGGCTGAGAACTGAAAAACTGCACAAGGTAGGGATGAGTACTGTATGTCAAAATAGTGTGATTAAATCAGCTTCTGTCTCAAGTGTCCGATACTGCACTGTTGATTTTATGATATGGATTTAGTTAGTGGAAGAAATACATCTGTGGCTTTTTTTAAGGCCTGCGGTGTAACTAGAAGTGGAGCAAAATACATTAAAAAAAGCCTCTAGCTAATATTGATTTCAGAAGCCTATTCATTAAATTGTGTTCCTGTGAGCACTTGATCTGGTATTCTGATTTGCTATTTAAAGCCCAAGTTCGGTTCCTGCCTTGATTTTTAAAATTCGAGTCTTTGGCCCATGTTACATCAACTTTCTTCATTGTCTCCTGTGAAACATCGTGGAGCCTGATGCTTTAGCTGAAGCTTGCTGAATCCTCACTTTGAATAATGAATTTTGTGTTTCAGTGAAAGCAGAGATAGTTATCAGCCTTAAGAGCTAATTTCAAAAAACATGACCACGTCTTACTTCAGTTTGAGTGGCCATGCCATGTTCCAGTACCTGTGAACTTAGTTATTAAGCTAATTAAGTTAATGCAGTAGGAAAGGAAGGAAAATCACTTGATACTTTAAAAAGCTGGAAAGAGATAACAGGATAAGTGACCAGCTCAGCCAAGTTGTGTTGTTTAGTTTGAGTCCCTGAAGACCCCTGCAAACTTATCCCAAGGAAAACGGGTTAAAAGACGCCTAGTGAGACATTTGTCATCTCTTGTCTTCTTCAGACTCTATCAGTAAAGCTGAGTCTCTGCAGTTGCTTGTTCAGGCAGGCTCTTAAGTGCCAAGTAAATCCTTCCTGGTTCTGCTCCAGCTGATGAAGTTTAAGGTGAGGTATGACAAGACCATGCCTTCTGCTTCTGCTGGCATTGTTTTACATGCAGTGGCCTTGTTTGCTTTGGCACTGCTTTCCTCCAAAGCTGCTTCAGCACTATTGGTATAAGCTATTTTCCATCCATCTGCTGTGGTGTGTTCATCAACTTTGTCCTCTCTTCTGCTGACCTCACTGGAGGTGTCATGGGTGGCACTGAGGACCAGCACCAAAGCGCGTTGCAGCTTCTGCATTGTGGTCCTGAAGAAGGATGAAACATAGTAGTACCATCACCCCAGCTGCAAGAGGTGGGGTTTCCCTTATCTGTGGTCATGGTGTGGAAATGCATTTTCTTCTCGAAATCCTCACTGGAAGGATGGCCTCTTCAGCAGTGGTGAGACTGCATGTTGTATATCCACCTGCTTAGAGAGCTGTTGGGTACTGGAAACATCAACTCAGGCTTGCCTTTTCCCACTCTTTATTGCAGACAGCATCTGGACTCCAAATCCCTCCTGTTTTGTAGCTGGAAAGCTGATGCCATTGGTTGCTTCTGTTTTGACCTGAACTGGTCTTTTGGTTTGAGTGGGAGTAGCTATCTCATCTCCTTGGAGGACTACATATCTTTTGAGGGACTCATTATCTGGGCATAGGAGGAGCCTGGACCAGATTACCCTGAAGACATCTTCATGGGGATGTTGCCTGCTTCCAGTTTCTTCTGAGACACCAGCAGGCAGGCTGATTACTCATTGAAGCATTACAGAAGAACAAACCATCTTGCCCAGGGTGTTCATCCTTTACTTCCAGTTCCTGGGATGGGCATTTTTAAGACTGTTTTCTTGAGGTAGTGTTAGTGAAGAAGAGGGTGCAAAGTGTATCAGCACTTTGGGCCTGGCAAGAACCTGCTGACTGCTGCCTTGCGTGGGTGGGCTCCATCAGGGCTTCTTCACAGATGTGATGGGTTGAAGGGACTTGGTGGCAGTGGCAAACATCCATTAGTCTACCAAGACAACTGTAATTACAGTATGTTGATTTGGTAGATGCACTTGATTCCCAAAGGTACTGGAGAGGCATGTGTTGAAGTGGATAACTTCTTAACTACCAGAAGTGTTTCTGACTGAATTATTTAACTTTTGTCTTTTCCGTTGTGCTCCATTACAGGTTGGGGTTCTCTTAGGTGCTTACAGAAATGCATACAAGCTGGAAATGTTTTTGTGTACTTTACCTAAATTACTGAAGATGGGTATACTGACCTTTAGTAGAGCGGACAGGTGGAAGTTGTTTCATCACACACACTTCTGAATTCCCAGTACTTGTGTACTTACAAGTTTTTATTAATTTATGAGGAAGAAGAATAGAAGTTAAGCAGCAGTCTAGCTCTTCCCTGCCCCCTTCTCGCTGACCCAGGAAAATGTTGTAATATTTTGCTGGTGCCAAATTGCCTGCGTATGAACCACTTCTTTTCTGCCTCTGATTCCTGCCATGCTTACCAGCAGAGGTGAATAGCTAGGAAGATGGGGCAGGACCTGGATTTTCCAATAAGAAATTGGAATTAGATCTCTCTGGTAAACAAAAATATGTAAATTAGTTCAGAAGGAGTTGGTTTGTGTTCTGGTCCTGTATAACATGAAGGGATATTAGATTCTGGTATGTGCTAGCTTTGTCACCCCTGCAGCTTTAACAGAAATGCAGAAATACTGACTATTGTTGGAAGACTGGCTATTTGCATTTTGGATCTTGTGCCTGAAAACTCAAATCAGAGTAAAATAGGTGGTTTCGTTTGTGAAGAGGAAGTAAATATAGCTCAGTTTCAGATGGAGACATGCTTAATGTGCTAGTCAGGACCAACCTGCTAACCACAGTTGATCTTGGAAACATCAACACTTGACTGACAAAAGTATGACAAGTGATAGAGAACTAAACGAGCATTCAGTGCATCCTACGGAGCTATTTAGCTGAGAGCTTAAAGGTGAAATTCCTGCACATATGATCTTCAGAGATTGTCTAGCCAAGAGCAAAACAGAGCTGTTGGTTCAGTAGCACATACGTAGATAGACGTTCACAATGACCCTGCTAGTCATAAGAAGCTTGTAATACACTGGCTGATCAGCTAGTTCTCCAATGACTTTTTAAAATCACTGATACATTTATATTTTGCCTCTTTGTACAGGTATACCTGTTGCAGTGGATAATCTTAACTTGTACCTTTCCAGCTGTTGATGGTCATCTGTCAAGTTCTGCTTATGCTGAATATACTTAAACTGTCAGTGTGTCATCTTCTCGTTAAAACCTAACTATTGAGTAGAAGGACAGCAGACGCTTTCAGAGCGTGACTTTCTTAGTACTGGTCAGCAAACACCTGACTGGTAGAAACCATCTCCATAAAGCAGTAATGCATCTACTACAATAGGAGCTCTGTATTTGTAGGGTGGTTTTGCTCAATTAGAGCTATTTCTGTATAAAAATAAAAAAAAAGCGTTATGTGGGGAGCTGAAGGGAGGATGTTCTCTATTGATAAATATTACTCACCTAAACTGGTTTGCACAGGTTGTGTGTTGGGTTTGGCTACTGTTTGGCAAAGTATGAGCAAAAAAAATTTCTAAGCCTTGCGATTACAAGTTTAACACTTGTTTAATTTATTGTCATCTGCTTTTTTTTGTAGGTATGATAGATTGTTTTGAAACCAACTTTTGATAAGGAGTGAATTCTGAAAGCTTAATTGGTTAAAATTGAGTTTGATTAATGCAGAGTTTTGTGTATTGTCTAGGAGGATTGGTGAAAATGTCTTTTCATGCAGTGTAACCAATGATGTACTGTTGTCCAAACAAGTTTTGTCTATTATTACTGATCTGTTTTTGACCAGGTGATGATATTAGTCTAATGTGCCACTGGTGAATACTAAAGCAAGCTTGTTCTTTGTGTTCTTCCTCCCCCAGGACAAAATGTTTCACTTTTGGGTAAATACATTCTTCATAGGACTGGATGAAAATTCAGACAAAGTAGAAAATGGAAGTCTAGTTGCAGATCAGGAACTTGATGGTATTTTCAGTACAGAGCGCTCAGATAATGATAAGGAATATTTAATCCTTACATTAACAAAAAACGATCTAGACAAAGCAAATAAAGACAAAGCCAACAGATATTTCTCTCCAAACTTCAAGGTCAGTATATATTATGTGTAAGCAAAGCTGAAAAGCTGCATGACATTACCCGATTTGTCTGTCTTGTCTTACGGAGGAACCATTTGAAACTACTGTCTATGTAGAAATTCAATTAATGTATTAGTATTGACACCATTTAGCAAAGCTTCTAGCTTTGTAGGTTTATCTGCTTTTTGGGAGGTTGATAGATGTTGAGAGGGAGCAAAGTGTTTGAATTGTTTCAGGTATTTATTAAAGCCGTTAGAGATGAGTGGTGGGAGACCCAGAGACCCAGGTGGCATCTTTCCAGTACCAGTTGCATTGCTGTGAGCTCTGAGCTTTACACAGTAATTCCTGAGTTGATTTGCAGAGGTGCCTGCTTCACAGGAATACCTTAATCTGTGAGTTTAGCTTTGAGGAATACGACCCATTGGCAGCACTGTTTTTAAAAGCAAAAAACGCGTTTTTAAGAATTTTTTTTAACTTGCTCATAAAATATCAGTTAGATTCCAGCAACGGAAGGTAGTAGTTGTAGTTGCTTGTTGGAATGTTGCTTGGATCAGACTGTTCACACACACAAGTCGCCAGTTATAGACTGTTTTGTTCATTCCTGTGCACGGTTATTACAATCTCTTTTCGTACTGGCAGAGGTCTAGAAGGTAGGTTGGTCAAAACGTTCAGTGTGACGTGTCCTGCTGCAGTGAAATGTTGTGCTGCTGTAACTTAAGAGTACCAGTGGTTGGTGCAGATATGCAGAGCTGCCCCAGCTAGGCTTGAAAAACCTGCTGCTTTGCCAGTTCTTTATTCTGTCCGGGGCAGTAGCAAAAGGCCGGCTAACCTCAGAAGAGCTCGCTCTTTATTCCCTTCTTTCCAGAGTAGAAAGGAGTGCTTGTGTGGTGTGGTTCAGTGTAGCAAAAGGAGCGATGCTTTTAAAAATTGCATGTTACCTGTATTCAGTTAAAGTCGAGGTTCCCTTTTTAAATGTTGCTTTTTCCTTTCCCAGGTGAAGCTATTTTTCACAAAAACAGTAGAAGAGCCATCAAACCCAGAGGCTAGCAGTTCAACTTCTGTAACACCAGATGTTAGTGACAATGAACCTGATCATTATAGATACTCTGACACCACTGACTCTGATCCAGAGAATGAACCTTTTGATGAAGATCAACATACACAGATTACAAAAGTCTGAATATTTTTTTTATCTGAGATAAAAAAAACCACACAAAAAAAACCCAACCACAAGAGTGACAAACTTGAATAAACTGAAAAAAGGACCTTTTTAAATGGCGAAAGGACATAGTGTCAGATTACCAATTATAGGAACAATTCTTTCCTGACCAATCTTGTTTTGCCCTATAAATCTACAGGGTTTGACACTTGTCCAGTTGGGGAAAAAAAAAAAACCAACAGGTTACATAGGTCTCATATGTATATACCTTTTTGTGTCAAAAGGACATTAAAACTTCAGTTAGGAACTATAAACATGGCACTTTCCCATTTTATTCCAGTTTTATAAAAGTGGAGACAGACCCAATGTGTATACGTAGGAATTTTTCCTTTTGTGTTCTGTCACCAAACGAAGCTTCAAAAATATACAGGTTCACATCCTGCCCCTTTTTTTGCACTTGTGTGGCAACAGAGAAGTCTGCAGTTGGCTAAGAGATGTTTCTAGAAGGTTTTACTACATTCTAATGCATGTATTTTGGATGGGGGATGGAAAGTAATGCTCAGAAAGGAATATAGTCTGCTGGAGCTTGGCCTGTGTACCATATCCGGCTATTTACATGCACCTTTCTTTAGCATGCTACCGTAATTCATCCTGGACAATTGAAGAGTCGCTGCTGTCACTGCTTGTTGTTTGTGCATTTTATTTTTTTAAGTGTAATGGTGCTAGAAGAGGCAGCTAGAGGGAGTGATTCTGTATAGGGGTACAGGAATGAACCTTCACAACACCCTGAAGACCCACAAATGAAGGGAGAAAAATTATTGGGGTCACAGAAAGGAAACACAGCAACAATGACTTAACCATACAAATGTGGAGGCTATCAACTAAAATATGGGCTTGAAACAAATTGTTACAAAATTTGACAATGATTTATGAATGGTTTTTTTCTGAATTGTAATGGCTGCTCCATCTCCTGTGTAATCAAGGCCAGTGCTAAAAGTCAGATCCTACTAATGCATACATCAGTCAACATCTTACATTTATGTTGTTAGTTTTTCAATCCTGCTGTGAATACTTCATGTGCTGCCTTGCAAGCTTTTTTCTCATTAATATAAAAATAGTTTGTAATGGTGCACAGGAAATTTCAATTGGTGATTCTCCAGGTTAGTGTTTGTTTTGAAGATTTATGATGCATTTATTCAATCAAACCTCTGTCAGCTGTTCCACCCCTTTGACCTTACACATTCTATTACAATGAGTTTTGCAGTTTTGCACAATTTAAAAAAATGTCAGTAACTGTTAGGGAATTTTACTTGAATACTCAGTACCTATGATGTTTTAAAAACAGACATTACACACGTTAGAGAGGAAATCAGTATTGCAGTAAATTCTCAACACTGTGTGTATATGAAGATGTGTACTTTTAAAAAGCAGAGCTTGTCCCAAATATATTGTTTGCTGTTAAAGAAAAAAACCCAAACCAGCCAACAGATTAGATTTTTAACCTGCAGTGTTGTATTACTTGTTTGTAGGGATATAGGCAGTAGGGCCTGAGGTTCACTTTCAGTATATAATTACATGCCCAGACTGCAGATGATGTAAGAGTACAACTACTGTTGCATACAAATGTGAAGTAACTGACAAAATTGATCTCTCTAAAGTACGCCATGAATAGCTGTCCCCAAATTGACACTTTTTTTTTTTTGCGCCCCCCCCCCCCCCTTAATGAACTTATTGGTACTGACATTGAAGTTCATTAGCTGTGTTCTCGCCTATATAACAACTGTGTATGGAATCTGTAAGGGCCCTGTACAACAGCATTAATGGTAAGAATTTGAATGAGACAAGGCAGGACCTCAGTAATTACTATTGGTAAACAAAGGTATAAGGTGCGCTTTTTTTTTTCCCAGGTATCTGTTGGTCAGTTCTGCTCATCGGATTCATGATTCTAACTTCTAACAAAGCTGATAAACATTTTCTGACTTAAAGGTTTAATTAGACTTTAATAGGTTAATGGATCAAGATTGCTGGTTCCAGCACTCATTATTCCCACTGTTATAGATGAGCAGGAGGTGGTTACCTTGGGATGTGATGTTTAACTCTTATCCTTCAAATCTTGTTTCACTTTGTCTGTTTTTTAACAGTTAAAAGTTGTGTTGGCTAATAAACAAATGTTCATGCTTTAAAAGTATTTGGATATTGACACTGCATGTCCCACTTTGGATAATAAAAATTGGATTGGTGCGGTTCCAGTATGTAACACTGAGGGCCGGATTGGAAATAATGGCACGATGGGCTTTTGCACTGTTATTTTTCCTTTGGAATGTGAAGGTTGGAGTGAGGGTTTTGATGTTTCTTGAATGTTTCGATGTCTTTGAGAAGCCTTGCTTACATTTTATGGTGTAGTCATTGGAAATGAAAAAATGGCATTATATATATATATTATATATATAAATATATATTATACATACTCTCCTATACTTTATTTCAGTTACCACCCCCATAGAAGTTGACAAGAATTACTATGACTGAAAGGTTTTTGAGTCCTTATGAAAACTTTATTTATGACAGTATTCATAATTAGCTTAAACTGCATTCTGTAGGTAATCTTTCCTTGAGTTTCTGAGCTGTATGCTTAAACCTTTCTGGATGTGCAACAGCTTACATGTCTGAAACTACTTGAAGGCATCACTTTGGTAAGAGCTTACTGCTAGGCCCTGAAGCATCCCCTAGTCATTGGTAGCCCCACTCAAAATATTTGCCACAGCTATTGAAGGGCAGTTGTATAAATAGCATCTGGATTTGTTTGTGGCACACATTGTAAACTGAGGTGGAGTTTACATGCAGCATCAAATGTTTCAGCTTTCAAAAAAAAAAAAAATAGGATGCTAGTGTGCAAGTTCCATGTTTAGTCATAGCAAATGTGTGCAATATGTTAACGATGCCTGTGGTTGCCACGAAGTGCCTCGTTTACCTTTTAAATACTGTTAGAAAGTGTCGTGCATGCAGATGGATGGGGTGGAACTGTGCACTAAAAGGGGCTCCAACTGTGGAGTTTGGCAGAGCTGCCTTTCTCTGCTGGTTCAAATTTTCAGTCTGTTTTCATATAGCATATATATATAGATACTAAAAGAAAAAAAAAATCAGTCTGTTAAGCAGCCTTACTCTGATTCAGCCTCTTCAAATACTATTGTGCTGTGCAACAGTGGCTCTGTGTGTAATGCTATGCACTGAGAATACACAAAAACCAAGTATGACATGTACAGGATAATGCCTCATACAAATCAGATGTCCGTTTGTTATTGTGTTTAACAACCCTTTATCTCTTAGTGTTAAAACTCCACTTAAAACTGATTAAAGTCTCATTCTTGTCACTGTGTGGGTGTTTTATTGAAGTATTTTGAGTATGGTCAGCTAAAATATTTTGCTTGTAAGCTGTGAAATTTTGAGCATGATCGTTAGAGCAAAGGATGCTCCTTGTGCGTCAAGGGATTTAAAGTGAACTGCAGCTTTTATGTTCAGAAGCTTTAAACAAGTGTAGGCATTGGAAGTGCAGATTGTGTGCAGAGAGATCAGACCCTTTAGTGTGACACTGTCATGGTGAGATGCAGGACTGCTTTCCTGGGGAATGAAACCATTTTTAGTCTCCAAGTAAGAGAACTCTTTGCAAAATGTGGATTACCTTATATTTAATGTTGACTGGTGCATCTCCAGCACAACAAAATACAAGTCAAACCTGAGAAGTCTTTTGCTAAAATAGTTTTAAATTGGCAATAATACGGCATTTTTCCCAAGTGGAAGAAGCATGCTTAACATATATTTAGTATGTAGTTTGGGGTTTCTTCTCCTCTTGTTGCTCGTCTATTTTCACACTTTAAACCAGCACTTTACTTAGAACATGTATGGTGTTCTCCTTTTGTGTTAAGGTTACCCTTTCAGCCTCTAGGAAAGAGAGAGGATGTGGATAGCCTCAGTGGATAGCCTTTGCGTTTCTAGTGATGGCGAGGAACCAGCGTGCTGTTCTGCACCCCATGAGTCCTGGGGATGTTGAATTGTGTTACTTTAGCTCTTGTTATTCCTCCATCCTTCCCCCTGGTGTAAATGTCAGCCCCGTATCACATCTGGCTTAGCATCTCCAAAAAATGTGTGTGTCAAGTAGAGGCTTGGTGCTGTGTCCCATTCTGCTCCTAGGTGGTAAGAGAAGTAGAAAGTAGTTTTGGTGCTTTACGAGGGTGGAGTGTTTGCCAGTTGTCTGGCTCTTTCAGGTGAATGACACAGTTAAGGGCTTGACACTATTTTAATAAAACAGCAGGCGGTACTGCCCGATGTGTTAATACATGTTCCTTTTTTGGGGTAAGCTCGTTTTTCATCCAGAAAACGAAAGTAGAGTGGGAAGGTGTAGAAAGAAGGGATGGGAAGCGTTAAGGAAAGTAGTCTAGACAGTGTTCAATATGTTGAGTAACTTCTATAAATACATAGACCTATATATACAAAGGGATTCTAGTCTGAAGACAGGGTGAATAGTATTGTTACAATATGAATAGAGTGTTGTATTTGACTTACACTCTTATCCTGTTGACTTGAAGTCCCATGCTGCAGTCCTTAGCAGCTAAAAGCTACTTCTAGAAAAACATGTTTGTTTTTTCCTTTTACGGCTATGCGTATGAGTGCTGTGGTGACTAACATGATGATTGCAGTTCCTGGGATGGTGCTGGATGCCTGTACGGGGTCCATTCCCATGTGCTCCATCTCTGCACTTGTGGTTTCTGTGTCCTTCTCTGACCACATCTCCTGCTGACAGCTTCCGCGCA